CTTAACTACATTTACCCTTAAGGGGACAGCTCCCAATTCCTAACTAACTATCCCACTTCCCATTAACTACAAACTGTCTGGACAGCACATGCAGGTTGGATCCGGCCCGCAGGGTGCTTAGATGTGGCTCATGGGGCCACCCTGGAAACAGTGAAGGACTGGCCTGCAGTGCCTCTTCCATAGAAAATGAAGCTCAGGATGGCCGTGTGCAGCCCTCCCAAGCTCCATTTTCACTGGCAGAAGGTTACAGGAGGCCGTTGCAGCCGAGAACAGAGCTCGCAAGGGCCGCAGGTGGCACTCCCAAGCTCAGTTTTCTCTGGCAGAGGGTTGCAGGAGGCCATTGCAGCCAAAACTGAGCTCGGGAGCCCATTTTCGCTGGAAGAGCACTTGGGCCACCAGAGGCACCCCTGACAATAGTGATATCAAGCTCACCCCAGCCACGCCCAACCCGTCCCCCCAAGATCAAACATAACCCCTCAATGAAATTGAATTTGACACCCCTGCTCTAGAATGCTTGCGCCAATGGAATTGACTGGTTTTGTACCAAGCAACCTAAAAAGCTCAGTCATGGGAGCAAATCTGAAAAGCTACTTCAGCAGAAGGGGATAAAATAAGGCTTAATGAGGTTTGTCTATTCTCTTTCTTTCCCTGCAAATCTGCTGAGTGGGACAGATGGTGTTAATATGCTTGGGTTGCGTACAAGAGGTTCAGCTGCACCTCCTTCCTCATTCCCCCCAGGGGATGGAGTGGGGAGGGAAGAAGATTGAGAGTCATTCTCTCCCTTCAGATCTTGTTTCATAATGACATGGATATACCAATCCCAAAGCAGAACGTGAACCATTGATTCACCCCAGGGCAAGTCGAGACATCACACAGCATTATGGTTTGGAGATATATATACCCATATAGAGAAACTTAATCTACGGTCTGAGTTTAGGTATCTCCAAGGATTAGTAGTGTGCTTTGCAAATAAGATCCACATAGATATGAACCACGCTTGGCGTGAAACAGGAAGCAGGCTCAGTCAAGTCATAAATTGCCTTGAAGTTAAAGCAAACAGAGATGGGTGTATGCATGCCAGGTTGCGCATGAGTGAAAAGAGGGTGCTTCAGATTAGATTCGTAAGGCAAAGAGGAGGGAATTTTTCCAGATGGCTCCTACACACACCTGAACATGAATGTGCCTGTTTAGTTGTGTGGCTGCAAGTCAGGAAAGACAAGGACTCTTCTGCCTGGATTTGAAATCAGAAAAGGAGGAGACTGAGGAAGGGGAGGGGAAGGAGCTGACAAAATCTCGAGGTATGTTTGGAGATTAGCACAAAGGCGAGGAACAACTCCACCACTGAGACAGGCTGAAACTGAGGGACAAAGACTGTGAGTATCTTAAAGGCCATTCTAGATCTTCCCAGTGGACAAGATTCAATACCTGGCATGGGTCCACGACATCGGTAATCCTAGGAATATTTAATTCCACTTCTACAGCATTGGTAAGCGCATATCTCTCCTTGAACATGCAGGTGCTTATGCTCCTTATCAACTCTGAACTACAGAGGGAGGGCTTGAAATTGTGTTCTCACCGTTTGTCCACAGTCTGGAAGTGAATTTGTAACTGTCATGTTTTAAGGTGTTTGCTTTCTGCCGCAAAACTGAATTTTGGAAATAGGGTCAGCAGTGCAATTTGGGGATATTGATGCATGGAGGGCCTTGAAGGGATTCAGGCATCAACCTGGAGTGGCAGGTACTTCTGGTACAGACTGATTCTCATAAATATTTATCCCAAATCCTCCACAATAACTTTGGGCATGGTTGTTTCATCTCATGAGGAATGACGTTCTCTAAGTGGGATGTTTTAGCAGTGGACGATATCACAATGCAATATATTTATTGCTAAAGGGTAAATAAGCATGGCCGGCTATCAAAACAAAAGAGAACAAAACTAAAACAAAACAAGCAGTGACATTTCAGAAGTGCAATATTTAGCCAGGGCTTACTTCTTTCTCTGGCCTTCACTTTGTTATTTCCTTTGGAAGAAGAAGATCATCAAAGTCTTGCAGTGCTTAATCGTGTTTGTTACAAATATACAAATTGGACTTGAAAGGAGGCAGAATAATTTGGGGAGTTGAAATCCATACGTCTTAAAGTGGCCAAGTTTGAAAAACATTGCTCTATAGAGCAATGTTTTTCAAACTTGGCCACTTTAAAATGTATGGATCTCAACTCCCAGAATAAAATAGCGTCTATGTTATCACTAGGCTAGCTGGGGAATGTTGGCACTTGTGGCCTGTTTATCAGGAAGGACTAGATTGGGGGAATAGGTTCGATATCATGGCCACCCCATCTTTTCTTTCATTTGTGTGTATGTGTGTATGAGGGAGGAGGACTTTGTACAGAACGTCTGACAGATGGCGAGATTCCTAAAGTTTTCTGTTGCGTCATTTTGCTTCCATCTCTCTAAACCTCACACTTTGAATGCAATTTAGCAGCCAGTCAGCCCAGGCTGTGTGCAAGCAAGTAGCCACAGATTCTCATAATTATATCTGTTACTATGCCTTCAGTGCACATTTCTTAGAAGGTAGTCTGGCTGAAAGAGTTTCTTAGGTAAGCTTTTGCAAGATGTTGCCAAAGCAATGAGGCAAGATACTGAAGAAAGGTGAATGTTATATAAAAAGGTTCCTTTTAGGTGGTGAGGATTCGATTTCATTTGAGCCCAGTGGGCATATTTTTCATTGGGTAGCCTTTTCCACTAAGCTACGCAATGTCTTCCTAATAAAATAATAATAATATCCGAAATGTATGTTTTTCAAAATGGCTAAGATTTCTCTAAATACCAGACAGAAATCAAGTGTGAATTATGTTATTTATTTATTTCAATTTATTGCCTGCCTAATTCCAGTGTACTCTGGCAGTGTACAAAACGAGGAAAAAAAACAACTAAAAATGTTGAATTTCAGAGACAGCCCAAACTAAAATGATCTAATGAACAGTATAAAGACAAACAAAAATTGGCATTTTAAACAAATCGTAAACATAAATCGTAGGCCTGAGATCAAAAACCGGGTTTTCAAAGCTTTCTAGAAGTCTAGGAGCGAGGCTGCTATTTTCATCTCTGGACGGGATGCTGTCCCAGAGATTGGGGGCCACAACGGAGAAGGTGTGCTTCCTTGGTCCCACGAGAAGATGCTGTTTAATAGAGGGAAACTTCCACTTTATTGGAAGATACTGGGTGAGCAGAAGCTATTGGAAATAAGCAGCCTCCCAGATATCCATGCCCTATGCCACACCAAGCTTTATAGATAATAATCAGCACCTTAACTGGCTCTCAGATGCCGACTGACAGCCAATGCAGCTTACGTAGTAGTGGTAACATATGCGCACACCGAGAGGTGCCTGTTACTGCCTGTTCCCGTTGCATTTCGAGTTTCTGGATAGTCTTCAAGGACAGCTTCATGTACAACACATTGCAACAATCCAGTTATGAGGTGACCAGAGCATGAGTGATTGTTCTGAAGGGTCTCCTTATTGAGGAAAGGGGGCAACTAGTGCACAAAATGGACCTGTGCCAAGGCCCTCCAGGGCCTTATGTTACCTTACATGACATGAGGTAAAACATGCAAAAGGGCAGGGAGAAACGTAGCCCTTGCTGAACAAGAAGTAAAACAGGATAAGGTTTTAACCCTGCAGAACCTGGCCCTAAACCTCTCCCATTTTAATGTTAATATGTTATGTTGGATAGTTGCTCTTGCTTTACAGAAGGGAGGGTTGGTTATGAGATTCCGGTTTTTGGAAAGAAGAGTGACTTTTGAACTCTGCTGATGACAAGCCTTTATCATCAGCTGGCAGCCTTTCACACAATGAGTCAAACCCAAAACTACTTGTAATATATATCAGAGGATTCCAAGATCCTTTCCTTAAAATGATTTTTCTGCTTTGTCAACAGTGTATTGTTCAGCTGCTTCACAGCCTTTTGTGCTTGCCTGCTTCAGCTCATGATCCCGATGGAGAGCAATGCTAAGAAGGGATTGGGAGACTTTAATGGCATGGAGAAATCACAGGCACAGTCTGCAGGCTTAGAGAAGGTGAGCCATCTCCTTCCTGAAGAGTAACTAAGCACTTTGCACTCTGCCTCCTTTCCTTCCTCTGGCTCCAGCAATCTGCAATAAATGTTTCATCCTTATGCAGATTCTGTAATTTTTATGTTCTAGAGCAGGGGTGTCAAACTCAAGGCCCACAGGGTGCTTAGATCTGGCCCATGGGACTGCCTGGAAACAGTGAAGGACCGGCCTATGGTGCCTCTGTCAGTGAAAATGGAGCTTGGGAGGGCCATGCACATCCCTCCCGGACTCCTCCATTTTCACTGGCAGAGGGCTGCAGGAGGCCGTTGTGGCCGAAAACGGAGCTCGGGAGCCCGTTTTCACTAGCAGAGCGCTCAGGCCATCACAGGTGTTCCTCGACATGAGTGCCATCAAGTTGGCCCTACCCCCTGGCTCTACCTCCTGCCCCCGAGGTCAAACACAACCCGGATGCGGGCCTCAATGAAATTGAGTTTGACACCCCTGTTCTAGAGCAAAGCAATGGCAAACCATTTACATTAGATTTATTCTTGCCAAAATGCGCTTATCCATTAACCCAGTTCTAAGACCGTCTTAAATTGTGTATAGTACAGCGCTGTACAGTGCTTTGCAGTCAGTTTCCCAAAAATGTTTTTAAGCCTGTAGGAGTGTGAACATAGCAAGTCTTGCAACAAACCTGGATGTTCTGAGGCACCATTTGGAGAATGAATCCAAAGCGCCACAGAAGCTCTTAATCAGAATAAGCCCCCTAATGGAGGTGCCCTCAGATCAATAATAGAAAAGAGGCCGCTTCATGTCAGGCAAAACTAAACCACCTAGCATTGTATTGCAGGGCCTCTCGGAAGAGGATCCTCTCCATCCTCTTTCTCAACCGAATATCTCTGAGTGGAAATGACACTTATTGAATCTGGTCCACTCTATGCACAGAACAGAGGCTGTGTTACTAAACCATGGATTCCTTCTAAGCTCTTCAGTAATTTCTAGTAGTTAATGATAAATAATATTTTTTGTAACTCCATTCTCTCTCAAGGGGCAGAAAGAAAACCCGTGGAAATATTACAACTGAATGGCATATGCTGGTGTTGGCCAGAGACTTTTTGTCAGGTTTCCAAGTGATGAAATCCATTTAAAAAGAAAAGAACAAAGTCCATCTTAAAAAAAGATTTCTTTTATTTAGGAAAGCATGAAATTGGCAAAGTCCATGGTAATTCTGGATCTGACACAATCCAGAATTACCCCACAATATTACAAGTTAGAAACAACCCCCAAAAGTCACATTCTCCAGCAGAAATAATTCAATGTTGCTTGATGTCATAAATCTCCACCTCAAGGGGCCCAAGCATGGACAGCTCGTTTCACACGGGAAGAAAGATCACCTAGCCAAAACAACTCTCTTTATCTCCACTCCTCCCACCTTAGGAATGTGGCAAGCCCGAAACCCTTCCCCCCATGATTGCCACAGAGAAAGCAAGAAAAAGAATATATACTAAAACTAACTAAAATGGCTACACTTATGTCAATTTCAGGCTTGACGCTTTTGTTCGTTTAGCCTTTACATTATATTGATTGTATTCTTTATTGTCTAGGTTTTGATTGATTATACACTACTGTGAAATCTGCTGAATCTACTGTAGATTTCTTAACAATGGCTTGGTCACAAATTTGTCATTTTTTTTGAGCAAAACTGATGGAAGGCAATAATGGTTGAACACTAGGCAGTATTAAATAAGTTTAGATTGCAAGCTTTGTTTTGCAACGGGTTATGGCATGAGAACAACTTTGATCAACCTGATAGAGGACTTTGGTTTAAAGATAGCAAGAAATTCCTTTGATTTCCCGGTAACAGCTTTGATACTATCAACCTTGGTAACTAGCCAAACTAGTTTAGGAGATTGGAGTCTAGAGCAATAAAGTTTTCCTCTCTTAATCCGAAGAATTCATTTTAGAAAGTAGCAGTAGGGATGGGAAATCTGAATTTGGAGTGCCATCTTCTCCCTGCTCCCCCACTCCCTATTACTTCTAAGTGGTTGAGTGCTCCAATAAGTAGGTAATTACTTGGATCAAGATATGATCGTTCAACCAATTCTGGATTTCTATTCTCCCCAAAGGAGAGTATTCAGTTTGAGAATGTTTGCTGAACCAACATTTTCAGACATCTTAATGACATCTGTCAATTATTTATGTATTTATTTCTCATATTTTAAGGCTGCCCATCTCACAAAAATTGATTCTGAGTGGCATTAGCCAAAGGTTTTGGGGCAGAAGCAACCTAATCACAGTTACTATATTCTTCTAATTTCCAGGAGGGATTATTGATATCATTCTTCAGAACGATCTGGAAGTTTCCGTTAGTATAGAATTTGGCAGAAAAAAACATTCCTGGGGTTCTTAGTTGATGATACTTCAGTTTAAAATATTTCTATGCAACTAGTGCCAAGTCAAAACATTTATTTGCTTAATCTCTCATTTTATAGGATTAATTTAACTCTTACCCTGTGTTCCTTCAACATAATCAAATTAGCTAAACTTAGGACAGGTCATACCGCTTTTTTCTAAACTTTGAACATTAAATGAATGGTCCTCAGTTGAAGATACCTGCATCTTCCCTTAAACCTTTAGAATAGAGGATTCTAAAAGGGTATTCCATAGAACAGGGGTGTCAAACTGGTGGTCCATGGGCAGATGTGTCACGCACAGGCTACACCCACCCCAGCTCCGTGAAGGGGGAAAACGTCGTGATAACTCATGTGACGGCAAGGTGACGCTGCAAGTTTGACACCTGTGCCATAAAATAACATCTTGCTACTTAATATTCCAGGAATCATGTTATACCTGTCTTCTGGTGGTCTATATAACTTGACATTAGGATGTACAGTAAGCTCCTTTTTTGGAAGAACATTGTGGTTCCAGTGTAGAATATTGCCTGTTTATTGTGTGGGAGAGTGGGATGCTTTTTCTGTTATTTGTTTTTGTCCTTAAGCATATATTGCCCTGAGAACCTTCCACTGAAGTCCAGTTTGCAAATGTACTGAATAAATAGAAAAAATATCCTGTTTGTTTAACCAGAGTAGCTTTATTCATGTACTCCTGTTATTGGCACAGAATTAAAAAAAGGAATGAGAGAGATTCAAAAGGCAAAACTTCTTTTCATTACAAACAGTCCTCAGCTTAGGACAATTGGAGCCAGAATTTCTGTTGCTGAGCAAATCGGGTGTTAAGTGAATCACTCTCAATTTTATGACCTTTTTTGCCTTGGCTGCTAAATGGATCATTGCTGTTGTTAAGAGGAACACATGGTCATATCAAACTGCTGATTTTGCTTGTCAGAAGGCAGCTGAGGTTGCAAGTGGCCATCAAAGGACCCCAGGACTGCAACTGCCATTAATAAATACCGCTTGCCTAGTGTCTGGCTTTTGATTGCACGACTGTGAGGATGCTGCAACGGTTTTAAGAGCAAGGAACAGTTGTAAGTCACTATTTTCAGTGCCGTTGTAACTTTGGTTGTAAGTCGAGCACTCAGTGTATACTGTTGAGAGTTGATGTGGTGCACAAAAAGTACAAGAAATCAATTAAAAGATGAGCTTGGCTCCTTACAGGGTTCAAAGGAAGAGGAAGCAAGGCGGCCAGTGGCACAGTGGACAGCAGCCGAAGTGTGTGCCTGGCTCAGAGGAAAAACCTTGGGAACCCCAGGCAGCCCACTACTGGAGGCAGCCAATAGCCATGCCATCTCTGGCAAGGCTCTCTTGCGCCTCTCCGAGGAAACCCTGGAGCGCATGGGCATAGCACCAAAGAGCCTGCGGGAGGAGCTATTGCAAGAGATTCTCCTCCTGCGCATTCAGCAAGAAATGGAAGATTTGCTGGACATTTCAGATGGTGAGTGATGGCATCTGCTTAACACTATCTTCACAAGAGGAATCTGCTGTACTGGCATTGGGTGGAATCAGAATTTGGGGAGAAAAGGGGATGGAAGGCAGGATGGGATTGTAATCTCTCTATAGAGCATGCCCATTCTTCTTGCATGGGTGCTTCATTTTTAAATGTCTGTGTCAGGATCACAATCAACAGCCCCAAGAATACACTAACACCTTTGGCGGTCTCAACTGTTCTGTGAAGTTGCTAATCTGGCCACCTAGCAGCATACAGATAGTCCTTGATTTGCCACAGTTCATTTAATGACCATTCAAAGTTACAATGGCACTGAAAAAAGTGACATGACTGTTTTTTACAGTTACAAACTTTGCAGCTTTCCCATGATCATTTGATCAAAATTCAGATGCTTAGCAACTGGTTCATACTTATGACCGTTGCAGCATCCTTGGGTCATGTGATCAACTTTTGCAACCTTCTGACAAGCAAAGTCAGTGGGGAAGCCAGATTCACTTAACAACCAGATTGCTAACTTATCGATTACAGTGGTTCACTTGACAACGGTGGTAAGAAATGTCATAAAATGGGGCAAAACTCAGTAAATTCTCACCTAACACCAGAAATATTGGGCTCAATTGTGGTCATAAGCCGAGGACTATATGCATTCTCTATATATTAACTGGCAGCAGGTTCCCAACTAAAGTCTTTCCCTGCTCTACTTGGAAAGATTAAAGATACAACCGGAGACTTCCTTCATGCAAAACAGAGATTCTACAACTGAATTAAATCTTTATCTTCATCTTGAAAACACTAAATCAGGTCTCCAAACTTGGCCACTTTAAGACTTGTGGACTTCACCTACAGGGACCACTGCACTAAATAATCTACCAAGAATAGCAATGGAATTGGAGAAATGTGTTTTGCAGTGAGGATGAGGCCCATATAGTCAAGAACTCATTTTTTTTTCATGCTGTTTATCAGCAACCTTTTCATCAGCTGACAAAGCAAACCTTGTATTACTTAATTCAACTACTTCACAAATGCTCTATTGTCTTAATATGTTGTATGAGCCAGGCCATCACATGATTTATTTGGAGGCAACAGAGACGTTTTGTTAACTAAAATTTTTGTTGCATTGCATGAGTCTATGTTAAGAGTCAAACCAAGGATAACCTGATTCCCATTTCAGCATCGTCTGCTTTATTACATCAACGTATGCAACAGCATGTGTTCAGATATACGGTTATGATATTGTTTGTAGTTGTTGCCACTGTCTGTCCGTAACTGATCATTTCTGCCACTCTCCTTCTTTCACACAGAATAACTCAGGAGATCCAGCAGGTTAAAATCGCAACTGTATGGAAAGCAGCCATCTTGAAGCATCCTCTAAAATTGGTTATTGGTGTCAGCTGCGCCTCCAGTTGATTGTGGGTTCATGAATCGGAGAACGAAAATCCAGCCGTTTGAGACTGGGACTCCATTCTTCATGCCCAGTGCAAGTTCTTTTGCAGGAAAGTATGGACATGGAAAAGGAGGCCTTTCTGTTATTATTACCCCAAATGGAAAGACTCGTTGAGAGCTGTTGAAAATGAAATTTCCATACTGGGCTATTCTGCAGCAATGAACTGCAGAATCAAATTCTTCGGAGAGTATTCAAGGTTTCCTGGTCACCTTAAGAACAAACCTATTCACATCATCTAATATCAGAGACAGACAACCTGGTGCCTGCTAGATATTTTGGGCAACACCCCAATGCCTTGAGATTGTTCCATGGGAAATGGAAGTCCAAAACATCTGCAGAGAGACAGGCTTCCTATTTATTAAACCACAGTAATGCTCTAGAGTCAGCAGCCACAGCATTTGTACTTGTGTCATATTTAACCCTTGTCTCTTTTCAGACAAATATTTATATCATTGACAGGGTTAGGCATTGTTTTTCCCTGCTCCAAGTTCAAATCCTCTGCTCCAAATACCATCTGTTTGGGATGGTATAAGGATTCCTTCCTTGAATAGAGGGTTGGACTAAAAGACCTCCAAGACCGAAAGGTCTTTTCAGTCACATGAGTCTATGATGCCGGGAAATTCCTTTCAGTTCCTTGCCTCCTGAAAGCCAAACCCCTCTCTTCCACCTCTTCCTGGCAACCTTTGGAAAGAACCTGTAGCTTCCCAAATAGGAGAAAAAGTATTGATCAGCATTTTTTGAACTTCCACACATTTTAATACTTTTGCTATTTGTTATATTGATATGTGTTTTTTAATTCTGGAGTACCTTAATACCCATGTATTTTGCCTGGTATTTCTCCACTCGCAATTTCACCTCTCCAGCACAGTCTTAATTTCCCGGACTGCTTCCCGTCTTTATGGTGGCCATTTTGACCACCGCTGCAACTTGTCTTTGGAGGGGGTTTATCTTGTCAGGGAACCTCCAAGCGATTCTCCCTTTCTTCACCACCCCTCCAGGGTGGTTCCGGTCTCAACTGGGACCCTACAACAAGTGAGCTCGGAGCAAAACCGCGCACAATCATGGATTCCTCTCCAACCACAACAGAAGAGCAACCAGAAGTCTTGATATGTGTTATTTTATTTCTAGAATATTCCAAGAACAAATATTGATTGGCAGATAAGATTTTTGTTTTTAAGGCCAACGTTTTGTAAATAAAATCATGCCCATTTAATGTCAACACAAAAGAGACAGCATTGAGAATTGTACTTCTTAGATCTGTAAGTTACATCCGTCCTGGCCCAGAAAGACTTTTGTTATGACCATCTTGTGCCTAGCATTTGTTTTTAACAGACGCAACTCAGGATTTGATAAATGACAGCCCTCCACTGCTTTCATTTCTGGAATGAAACAAGCACCCAAGAGATGAGATATTAAAAAGCTTGGAAAAAATTTATTGAAGTTTTTACGACATAATAGGCTTTGGAAGTTTTTAAATACAATAAATATTTATCAGTAATAATAGCATTTAATGGATCAGAATTCAAATCCATTGCCACTGTCATCCTCCCACAATACATTTAAACAGACATGAATCTCGATGAAGGGTGACAGACTGTGGGGCAACCCACAATGACATTATATAGTTTCTTATTGAAAGTATTTTTTCCACTAACAACAATAGTAATCTGTACAGTCAGTTTTGCTTTGACCCAGCTTGTGCTGCCCAGAATCTGCTTCAAAGAATACAAGTCAAAGAATACCCTTGCCCAAGAAGGGTAAGAAACGGTTCCTGGCAGTCAGCACCTATGAAGACCAAGGCACACACCCTCTTCCCAAGAGACCCAGTTATTATTTTCCCCTTCTGGAGAAAAAGCAGGAGAAAGTAAAGCTACCTCTCTTCCAAGTTCTGCCCCTCTCCCCATGTATGGTACGTTACAAATAACTAATGAGTTCATATTTTACTTGACAGCCAATGGCTTTTTGAAAACACCAAGGTCACAGAGTTAATCAAAAAGCAAGGAAAATTAATTGGTCCAATATTTATGTTTATTCTTGCTTCCAGACAGAACCTACTCTGAAAAGGGCACTTATCTTGCTTATATTCCAGAGTCAACTTAAATGTGGAGAATGGATTCCTACCTATTCTCTCTTTCTCTTTTAAACTGAGAAACAAATTCAATGGATATTGATTGGGGAGATCTGGAATACCATTACTATTAAGCTTTACATTTTAGGATTACATTTCAAACAAAACTGGCACTGGGAGGGGTGAGATGGGGAACACTCTGGCCTCAATTCTTCATTGAATCTGTGGGTAGATGCCAGACTTCATGAAATATTTTTAGCCAACATACTCTTTCCTGAAATCACAGAAGAAAACAGTCAACAATCTATGTAAGATTTAAACCCTTGAATGATTTACTACTGTAAGTCAAAATGAACATAGCCCCAATGCATAATTTTTATTGGACTTACACCAACCACAGTTCATCAGGGTTCTAGCTAGTTAGATTCCAGTTTTTTTTGCTGTTCATACCTAGTTCTGAACTGCTGTATTCTAATATATGAGGGCTATACAAATGTTTTCTGGGCCCAGCCCAGTGTTGTCTTACAATATCTGCTTCTCTATACAATCCACTTTGGATTAAGCTTTGCTAACAGAAGCTGAATCTTGCTGGACTGTGGAGGGACTGAAAAAGAGCAATGTGGCATCAGGCCCTAGAGTTGCTTTGGCCAGGAATCATCCTTTGGCCAGGAATTATCTCTGAGGTTTGCTTCAAAGGCCAAAGCACAGATACCTAGACAACAGTCAATCAAGGCAGAACAATCATCTGTTTTCGGAACATAAAATGGAATCGTTATTTGAAAGGGCAAAAAAGTATACAAGGGAAATGGTATGTTACTGAAGAACTAGTTACAACTGCCCCCATCACATTCTATGCCATCTTCCATTCACTGAGGTAATCTAGAAAGCAAGATGAGGTTAGGTTCAAGGAGAACTTGAAGCCAGTGGTTACACCCACCTCTTGAAGTGACAAAATGTCCACCACTTCAATACTCAGTACCTTTATTTTTAGAGATGAACCCAAACGGTGTTTTAACCCCATCAATGGTGCATTTGACTCTCACCAAACTTAAAATCAGTTTTAAATCAATAATAAAAAAAATCTACAGACCTGTTTTCCTGTTTAAAGGTGCTACTCCTTTAACTTGGACAACACTTAAAGAATGCTTTTTTTTAAGACAGCTGACTTTTTCCTCAACTTGAGGAGAGTCATTTAAGGCACCAAATTCCTTATTGAGAAGCCCTGATAGGTAGGAAAGAAGAATCACATTTTTTCCAGTAAAGACAGACAGGCAATGCAAATCTGCCTCATATACCATAACATGCCAGCAAGCTCATGCAAAAGCAAATGTTAGCCGGAAGTTGCAGTGGCACCATTCTTGATCATCACAAGTGTAGATGTTCCCATATAATATGCATGCTTCTAGGCAGAATCTAATGGGATCATTTACTAGCTTACATTAAGCCTGCATATATATAAGGAACCCTGCTTCCCAAGAATATTGGCTTCTGTGGATAGCCATTACCTTCTGTCTAAAGGATTCTTATGCCACAGTAGCCTGTGCAAAACTATACCATTGATCTGACAACTCTTTGTTTCCAAGACAAACACTATTATCCCAAAGAAAGAGACCGAAGACCAAATGTTCCTACAATGATTCATTACTTAACTGTAAAGGCAGATCCCTTCTCTGAACTGACCACCTTCTTAAAAATAGAAAATGGTTCCAAGAGACTATAACTACATGTCCTGTTTCTTACTGTCACTTATGATTGACAACTGATTTATTTTATTCTAACTATTGCAACATCAAATATTCAAGAAAGCTAAATTCTTCTTCACATCCAAATTTTACTCCATGTGCAGTGCTTTGATACGAATAAAGTCTCCCTACCCCCATTTCAAGTTTTGCTTCACAGCAATGGAATATTAAGTAAACCAAACAAAAATCAGAATTGTTTGCCACCCATTTCTTTTTCCTGCTAATAATGAGAGTAGGGGCTTTCCTCGTTCAACGCCGTACCAGACATAGCATTTGGGGTAAGACTTGAGAATCAGAAAAATAAAACTATTTACAGAAAAGAAAGGGTAGGAATGAAAGCAAGAATTAATTCTAGGATTTTACACTGCATACATTTTGTTTTTCGACATAATGCTTTGTGTTTACAAAGTAAAAGATAAATAATAATTTCACAACTCAATGTTTTCTACAGAATGGAATGTGTCATCCACAAAAATAAAATGAAACAAGTAGACCTCCTTTTCAAACCATTCATAAAGTTGCCTCTGCCATTAATTAATTACATATGAAAAAAAATATATTCTGTGCTCACTTTTTTCCGGGTGCAACCTTTCTAAGAAAAATGGGTTTAGGCTGCACTCTTCATTTAAGCACACATACACAAACAAACAAACAAAAATATCTTCCTCAAATAAAGTACAAACAGAAGAGAAAAATCAGTGCTGGGTCTTCACCATCACTCAATTGTTCAACTGATTCCCAAACAGAAACGAACCATTTCTAAAACCGAACGTGGGGTTCAGATCACTTGCATTTCTTGTTTTCAATTAATTGTACCCAAGAAAAGCAGTGTCACATGGAAAGAGTATGCACCACATCTAATGAACTATTTTAATGCAAGCCTACTTTAACCCATAAGATGGTAATGTTGTTTATCACAATCTCAACTTAATCCTATAATAAACATGAAGAAAAGAATGTCTGTTACTCAGTCCTCCCCAATGCTTGAAATTACAGCATTTGCTGTGGCCCCAACTCTCTCTTTGCAAGGCATGAGCCACAATTTGGAGGGAGAAGATTAAAAAAAGGGCATTTGGGAAAACATAACTGACTTGTCATGGCTTAATGAAGTTGTGACCTCCAAGCTCTTTTGAAGAAATCAATTGTTTCTTTTCTTTCTTTCTTTCTTTTTTATTAAAAACCCCCCTCTTGTATAACTGGATCTCTGATTTTAGGATGTGGAACAGTTTGTAATAATGTACTTCAGTTCCCAAGGGTAGTTTTCTGGGCCCCTCGTTCTCAGTCAGCATAGCCATGATGACAGTTCTGTGGCAATCTTACAGTTCTACAGCCACCACCCATGCCTTTGTGCCTGATGATCTTTCTCTGAAGATTCCATGAGGTCCTCTCCTGATCATGTAGCTTTACTGTCTGCATGTTTCTGGAAGGTGGCATGAAGCAGCAAGGGAGGAGACATGAACAACAGCCCTCTCTGGTTTCTGGGTCCTATATGTTCTTTGCCCCCCAAACCATCCAAAGCAGGTTAAATCTAGTTCCATGGTGATGGTTGAAGTATATTTACACAGGCTACCAAATTTACAGTGCCTCTGAAGACCGCAGGCTGACGTTTTCCTCTGATGATACCTTTTCCATGCCTAGTCAATCAGAGCTGGGCTTTTGTAAAGAAAAGGTTTGGATGTTGAAGTGTTTACTAAGCTGCCTCACCTAAATGGAAAGAGAAGAGAGCAAATGAAGATAAACCTGAAAACAAGGCTGGGAATGCAGCTTTTTTCCCCCCTCTGTGCATTCACATTCTTTGTCTGGAGCATAACTTAGAATAACTTTATGGGCACTTTGAATGTACAGTAATCTGCATATATTAAAATAAAATTTTGCTGCATACAGCTCTCAAAGAGTCACCCCCTCCAATATATATACTACATAAACATAACTAAATAAATACATAAAAATAAATAAAAAGTATGCATACACCCACATATATTATATGACGCAGAGAATTAGCAGCCAATCTCATTGTACACATGTTGTACTTTGACAATAAAGGTAATAATGGAAAAAACATAGTCTAGTTCGGATGTATGCATATGTACATGGCTTTATGTCAGTCTAGCAATCCTCCAGGTAATCCATTTTCTATTGGCATTATTTCAAGGCAAACTAGAACTGGGAAGGATATTCTAAGTAAACAGGTGATCCTCCATTAACAGGTCTGAAGGAAGTGTTGCAGTGGGATGTTCAACGTGGCTAGAGCTTTGATCTTTAAGCAAGGACAACATATCAAGCTCCTATTGTTCTTGTTTTTAACTACTAATTGAAAGTTTTGGATTCCCTGCCAATCCCTGAAGCATCACATCTTTCATCCCCTTTGGTGTCTAAGAAAGGGCCCAAACCTTAGCATGTGGACCCACATGGTTAGTTTCCTAACCAAGTCTCTCAGTACGAATTCAAAACCCTCAGAATCACTCAACAGTTTGAGATTGCTTTGGTTCAACTATTATATTACAAGAGATACAAATACAGAAAATATATCCATGCAGATTTTCACAGCCAGCATCAGTCCAATGGTAATGAACTTCTGGCCGATCAGTTAAACTGTAGCCTATTAGCCTGGAAGTTCAGCACTATTACATATAAAATACTTGAAAGGCTGGCTTTTCTTTTCAGGAATGAATGAAAATCTTGTCTTCATTCAACTTGTGTTGCTCAATGGGAACTCCTATTCAAGCTCTGGTCACAAATCTGTTACTTGAAAAACAGATTTTGCTCTTACCTTTTAGGAAACTTTTAATTTATTTAGTCAGTTACCAATATTGGCTTACACCAACCCCATTCTCTATAGCAAAAAACAGACCAAGTGGTAGATACACAACATTTCAAAGTTGTGAAAAGTACAGGTAGTTCTCGACTTACAACTATTTGTTTAGTGACTGTTTGAAGTTACACACTTACGACTATTGCGGCATCCCCTTCGTCAGTCAAAATTTGGATGCTTGGCAACCAGCCATGTATTTATGACAGTTGTAGTGTCCCCAAGGTCATGTGTTCATGACCACACCTTCTGTGACCTTCTGACAAGCAAAGTCCATTGGGAAGTCAGATTCATTTAACTGTGTTACTAACTTAACAACTGCAGTGATTCACTTAACAACTGTGGCAATAAAGAGAGGTCATAATGCACTTAACTGTCTTGATTAGCAATAGAAACTTTGGGTTCAACTGTTGTCATAAGTTGAGGACTACCTGTACAGGATTGCCTACAGATCAACCAAGGAGACAACTGAAGGGACCCCAGTGGGAAAGATAAGTCAACAATTGGTAGGTTTTCCAAAGTTATCTCTATCACCTGTTGCCATGCATGGAAAGTAGAGCAATGCTGAAATGGACAATGCAGGGAGTCCCAAACCCTGCGGAATGGCTTACCACATTGACTCCATAATGAATGTGTGCCAACGTGATGAAAATGGTGATTAAATAGAGGAGATTCGTTTCCTGTTTTGGTAGCACGTCTGACATCACTATAAGGATAACAAGCGCAAGTGGAAGAAGCAGCCAGTTCAACGGCTGACATCGAGTGCTGCTCATCTGACTGACAATCAATTGACACTGGAAGAAAGGGCAAAACACCAAAAGGAAGTTAGGGGGAGAAGAAGGAAATCTGAGTTTGGTTTTCCTCCCAATCTAGGCTAGTTGAGGATTCTGAGAATTACAGTCTGAAAGCCCTTGAAGGGCAGGAAACAGGGCTGGCTATTTCAGTCGACCCAACAGCTGTGTCCCTCTTAAGAGTAATCCATTGCTCCAGTAGTAAATCATTCGGTGAATGTAAAGGATGTTGAGAATATTTACACAGTCTTGATTGAAGACTGCCTAATTCCATTTAGCATTGTCCACCATTTTGATGACTATCTAAATATAGGGAGTTGCAAATATCCTGATTCCTTCTAACATGAAATGAGCTCTCTTTGCACACAACAATATCTCTAACTTGCTAAAGAGACTTCCAATTACCCTGGGTTTTATATTGTTTGGTTCTGGCTTCCTTACATGCCCTTTATCTTCCCCAGCATGCTGGCTCGAGGAATTCTAGGAGTTGAAGTCCACATATTTTAAAATTGCTAAGGTTGAGAAACACTGATCTGGAACGTAAGAGAATCAGGCATCTGGAAGAGGCCATTTTTAGACTCTCAGATACAAACTCCTGCCTCTTCCTCTACTGATGCCCTGCCTCCACTGATGGCTATCTAAGAGGAAATTGGGGAGTTGAAGGTCACATATCTTAAAAGTTGCCTGGTTTGAAAAATTCTGAGCTAGACTGTGCTTCAACACTTTCCACTGGCTTTCTAAATAATGGATTCCATCACTCTTGCTGATAAGAGTAGTTAACTGTTAAAAGCAGTTTTTAATAGTATTTGACCAGAATCTGCTTTCTTGCATTGTAAATCCATTAATCTTTATAATCCCTACCCTGATAAAATACAGAACCTGCTGAGGTCTTCTGGGCATTATCCTTTTAGATCAGTCTGCAAGAAGTACATTTCAAGGCTTACATATGGCCTCTTAGCATTCCTTTAGAAGCCTCCAGACTGGGAGGCAGCAAATATTTAGATATTTTTTAATTTTTAAGGCACCAATTCAATCCCTATCCAAAAACCTGGTCTTGGCTCTGCCTAATTCTGCAGAACCACCTCAACTGTCTTTTAGTAAACAACATATGTCTCTCAGATAAATGGAAACTGCCCACCCATTATGGTTCTTTCTACCTAGAGCTGTGGTGGCGCAGTGGTTAGAATGTAGAACTGCGGGCTACTTCTGCTGACTGCTGGCTGCCTGAAATTTGGCATTTTGAATCTCACCAGGTTGACTCATCCTTCTATCCTTCCGAGGTGGGTAAAAAGAGATCCCAAACTGTTGGAGGCAATAGGCTGACTCTGTAAACTGCTTAGAGAGGGCTGTAAAGCATTATGAAGTGGTATATAAATCTTATTGCTATTGCTTGTTCAGTCCCCTGCTTCCTCTTTAGTTTTTTTCTTGTTAAGTGGTATTGTACTGTAACCACCAGTAGTGCAGGCAGTCATGTCAGCTACTGTAGAAATTGTGGGAGGTGTGTGTGTGTGTTTGTGCATGAGAGGAGGAAGAAGACTGAGACTAAAAGGATTCCTGGTTTGGCTCAGACAAATGGACTAACAATCAAAGCAACTTTCTTCTTCCTGACCTCTTGAGCCTTTGGAAGCCCGACTTTGAAGCAGAAAGGATGAAACTTACAGAGATATTTGCGAAGGCTGTCCCAACCATGAAATAGAAGATGCGTGGATGGGCCTCCAGGATATCTGTTGGTGACTGGAAGATCCAAATGGTGCACAAAATGAAAAGGAGGACTGGCGAGAAGAAAGGCAGCATGGCTTCATAGAAGGAGTGGTGCTTGAGGGTGCCCTTGGCATAGGCTCTGAAGGACAGAAGGTAGCAAACAAGGGCTTGGTGAATGAATGGGCCAAAGCAAGGTCATTTGGCAGAGGGGAGAATCAACATTTCAGTGGAATTTGGGAGCCTGGCACTGCAGCCAGAAATGGAGTGGCTGGTTATCTCCATGCCCCCATCTGAACTTGAAAAGCAAAGGGAGAGCGGATGTTTGCCCGAGACACTTTGCTTTTTCAACTCTACCTCTGCAATGTGCATACGCTACCCTTGACAATACAAAACACTTACTTGTAGTAATTGCTCAAACTCATGGGAATGGTCACAGTAAACGCACAACCTAAAAGGGAAAAGAAAGAACCAATTTACTTTTCCAACAAACCTGTCTTTCTCCTTCAGATAAAAGCAGGAGTCCCAACCAAATCTATCCTGATTATTTTCTGTTTTGGGAGCCATGCATACTGTTATACATCAAAGCAGCATTTATTTACACTGTTACATCAGAATCAAGAAAATCTTATACCCCATGAAATGTTTGAACCGGGCAAAAAAAAATAACAGATTTCACAAATAATTTTATATGCTCCCTGCTAATTGAGAAAATTAAAAAAATGGAACATTTAGTCATAATTTACATTTGCATCAACAATTAATATACTCAGGCCTAATATTTACAAACTCATTAACATGATTATTTGCTAGTTTTCAAAAGCAGCTATCATTCCAGGCGAGGAATTAGCACAACTTGGAGCCTGTAAGTCATTCCATCCCCTCCCCCAATAGCTCCAAAACCGCATTAAAGATATTCAATTCATACTGATCCACAATATCTAATTTTTAGATTTTGAATGGGAACAGCAATAAAATAGATGTAATAAACATCCAATAGTCTTAATGCTTACCTCCCCCAATCTCAAAAAGGGGAAAGGCCAAACCAGCCCCCCCCCCCCATGGAGACATCACAACAAAACTCCATCCAGTGGCCCCCACGTGGCTATATTTTTAAAAGGATGTCTGATTAATAAATAATGTATGTGTCTGTTCACTCTTATATTTAGTTTATATTAGGTCATGTAATGTAGCAAAGAATTATAAATACTCGATGCAAGAAGGATTATCTTTATAATACACAAGGAGAAATCTGTATCTGATGGTAAATTGCTGAGAAAATTGCAAGAAAATGATTTTCATCCACTCAGCTTAATATTTTTACTATTTTTCCTATGCTTTCATCTATTTTCATATCTTTAGAGGCAGCAGTATCTGGGGCTATTTGACTCGCCTTAAGAAGCTAACCCGATGTTATGCATGGTTACTACTTAAAATGGGCCACAACCATGATATCAAACCTATAGATCTGGATTCTAGAACAAGGAAGTAGAAACCACTTCTGTATTGTTGCCAAGAAAATTAATCTCTATAGTTCTGATATTTATTCATTTACTTTAGAATTAAACTAGATTCCTGGTTAATGCAGATTATTGTCCCAAAGATATTTTTCCAAAAGGCATGTAGACCACATTGACGTGTCATGTATCTGCATAGACATGTAGATCACATTGTTTTGACGTATGTGAAATATATTGAAACAGATCTATATTTTTGCTGATGTTAAAGGAATTAAAGCACCTTAAAGGTAACATGGTAATTTACCATGATGGAGTTAGGGAGATTGTGATGGAAGCGTGGGGCAAAATTTAAACTGTAATTCTGTAACTTGAAATCCAAGGCAGAAATCCAAGGTATTGTGAAAGTTTTTAGAAAAGCACAACTACCTTTGAGATAAAGGTGAATCACCAAGTAGCCCCTAGATAGAAAGTAATTAACTAAAGTTCTGTGTACTTTGTGCTCTATAATATATGATGTGATTTGGCTACATCTGCCAGAAGAGGGCTCCAAGGTTATACTAGGAATATGCTGGATTAGGTTACCGATTTGTGGCAAGCTTTAATGTATGTTTTCTGGTGCCCAGAAGAAAATGGAAAAAAAAAATAGTGGAGACCCAAACTTGAAAGAAAAACTGTATTCCTCTCTTGCCTCAGAATTTCCTGAATTATTGAGTTGTCAATAGGAAATTCCTTGGTTTAGATGTATGTTGGTTCAGAGAATATATTCTTAAGAATGTGGTGAATATGCCATACTTATTCCAATTTATCCACATTCATTCTCCAAATACATCGCCCTAAGTCAGTGTTTAGACAACTTTTTTTGTTCCAACAAGTCAGTGTTGATTCCTAGTGACCAATATGGGTAGGTTTTCTCCATGATAATCTGTTTCTAATTTGATCTTCCAAAAGTGCATTCATAGCCTCTGTGACTGAATATATTCACCTTATTGCTGATCATCCTCTTATTTATTTATTTTATTTGTTATTTCACCGAGGCAATTTTGGGCAGCTTACAACAATAAAAGAAATAAAACCATACAGACACATATATCTGACTACAGTGATGTTATCTGACTTCTCTTTCCTTTCACCCTTCCTAGCTTTAGAACCTTCTCCAGAGAACTTGGGTCTCTGCATTTATGTGTTTGAAGCTAGATAATTTAAGCCTGGTCATTGGTGCCCTGAGTGAGAATGATTCACTGGTTTATTGTTTAATGATTCATTGGTTTATTTTCTCAAAATATTCTCAGGAGCCTTCTCCAACACTAAGTTCAAAAGTCTCAATACCTTCTTATCCTATTTTTCAGAGTCCAACTTTCATTTTCATGGAGTGTCATAAGAAATACCATTGTTTCCAAAATCCTTAACTTCTGTAGGTATATCTTTTGCAAGGCCTTCATGGCTGCTCTACCAAGTGCTAGTCTGCAGCACATTTCTTGAATGCTCATTTCTTCACTTTTGATGGTTGATCCTAAAAGTCAGAAACTATCTTCCACTTTGATATTTCACGATCAATTCTAATGCTTTACTTTTACACGCACTTAATTATCTTGTTATATACAACAGAAGTGCCTGGTATGAAATATTCTGGAACAAACAACTTTTCAGTGTGACCTCTTCCCATCCCCATCCCGTAAGAAAATTCAGCATAAACAACAAACATTTTCTTAATCGACATGCTAGGTTTTGGTACAAAGCAGCTCAAAAGATACAGATTTCTACAAGCACCTTCTTACCAATAATCATTGTAACGAACAGGTCTTTATATAAAAAATGAAACAGGAAAGGGTTGTACCAGGCCTCCACTCCTATGATGGCTGTCACGATGTATACTACTGAAATGGTCTGGAAAAGAAGACAGAATTACAGATCTTTATAATAATCATCTATCCAGCATTTCCAATTGACAAAATTGTCTAGAGGCAAAAAAAATGTTGTTGGTGGAAATATCCCAAGAGTTTTTTTCTTCTTACCCTGTGCCTGCTGCAACTGCATGTCCAAGTGTTAATAATTAGCGGATAGCTAACTTTTCTTACCATTGCTAAAAGGGAAGGAGCTATAAACCAAGGCAGCCTCTCCAAAACTAAGTATCCTACAACTATTTTGCCTATTTTACTGAGAATGCTGGAAGCTGACATTTGGAAGGTCTCCAAAATGGGAAGCTGGCCCAGAAAATACCCCAATGTTTTTAAGCTGCTGAATGCAAATTATATCTCGAGGGTATGATCAAGGCACTCCTATGAAATAGTCCTGCAGTACTGCAGGCTACTTCTGCTGCCTGCCGGCTGCCTGCAGTTTGGCAATTCGAGTCTCACCGGCTCAAGGTTGACTCAGCTTTTCATCCTTCTGAGGTCTGTAAAATGAGGGCCCAGATTGTTGGGGGGCAATATGCTGACTCTGTAAACTGCTTAAAGATGGCTGTAAAGCACTGTGAAATGGTATATAAGTGCTATTGCTTTTTGCATGGGGGATATGAACAATCAGAGAGCATCAATATATCAGAAAGCTTTGAGGACATGCTGAAGGAACTTGGGGTACTCAATCTGGAGGAAAGACAAGGCTGCCCCCAACATAGTATCAGTGTTCGGGTATGTATTCTTTTCCCGTAGAAATTTAAAGCAGAAGTTTAAATTACCTAGACTTCATTTGAATAGGAGAAAATTGTCCCGACAGTAAGATAAGGCAGTAGTCTGCCTATAAAGGCTATGAGTTTTAAAGAAGACTCAGGAGGGCCATCTATCAAGGATGGTTTTGCTGTAGACTGCAGAGAGTGAGTTGGACCAGATGATCCTTGTAGTTCTTTCTCATCATTTGCATTTTACAGGAGGATGGTGTGCTGTGGATATCCGGAGACCAGTAAATTTTATGTCTAAATTTTAGGGGAGTTGGACTGCCCCAATATACTTTTAATAAATAAATAAATATGGGAACAAATTCTATAGGCTAACAGCATGAGTGTATAAAGTTTAATATCATGAAAGACATATACACAAAGACCAATATGGCTGAATCCTGAAATCACACACAGAAAGGAAGACAGGCAGAAGCATTTAATCCCATATTCTCCATTTCCAGTTATTTTGGATTTTTGTCAATGGGTTTCAGATGTAATTTCTCTTCCTAAATTTATGAGTGAGGTTGTATATGAGGGATAAGGAATCAGACTTTAGTGTGGAAAAAAAAAATCAAGGTCCCCTCTGCTCAACCCTGTAAGTATTTAAGTCCAAGTCAATAAAACCTGCAGGTAGCAAACGTAAGAGGGCAAAGGGCTCTTTTAAGATTCCAACGTGGTGAGTTCAGAAAGTGTTCAGTGGGGCATCCCAGAAGAGCGGAAGGAAAGTGCCTGCCTACCAGCATGCGGGGAGGAGTGGGCAACTCGCACCAAGCAAAACAACTATATGTAGTTGGCAGCTGTTTCTCAAACAAAGCTACTTTTGCCAATGTCTATGACAGGGCTCCCCAAACTTGGGCAACTTTAAGGCTTGTGAACTTCAACTCCCAGAATTCTGGGAGTTGAAGTCCACAAGTCTTAAAAGTTGCCAAGTTTGGAGACTTCTGGCCTATGACATTCACGCCTGCCAATGAATGCACTTGATTTCATCCACTGTTAGTGTTTGTCTATGGAACAAGCAGGTGAAGAGAAACATTTTGATTTATAGAATTATATGTCACAAGAGGCATCACTTTATAGAAGGCATACTCTCTACTCACTTCCTCCTGTGTACAAGGCCTTATCCAAAACGTCTATCCCTTAGAATTTTTCAAAGTACTTTAAAAATGCATCTGCTTCTTGTTTTATTAAGGACCCAATTTAGTAGCTAGTCAAAAGTGTTATTTTCTTCATTCTTTTTTTAAGTAGCTGGGAGTGCTTTTTTGGGGGGTGGGGTGGGGTGCAGTTCATGCCTTTGTAGCCCAAATGAATTAATGCAGAGGTTTCTTGTACAGACCAATTTCATTGTGCTCAAATAGAATTGCTTTAATTGTTGTTTGTGTCATTTCTCAGTGTTTGGATAGAATGTTTGAACTGACGTTCAACTGAGTTCACGTGAGATTCTCAAAGGCCAACTGATTACTGACTACAGTAGTAAACAGAGATCAGGACAACGGTGCCAAATTTCATCTCTAAATAGTAGTTGTACCATATCCTATGCCTCACTTTCATAACCATAGTTCCTCAAACTCTCTAGATACGAATAAAATCCTACAAGCCTGATAGGTCATTGCAATGCCTCTGCATAAATACCATGGCCATTATACATCTTTGCAATGAATGGCAACTGATTAAAGACTCCAGGCAAAAAGATATTTTTCCTTTAGACTTTGCCACTTGTGGAAACCACCAGTTAGTTTTGTTTGCAAACCGTAAGAATGGTGGCTCAGACAAACTTTTCGATTCAATTTTTCTTAACCTTTTAGAGGGGATTTGGTGTATAACCTATACTAGTCTGTCACCGGGAAATCTGACTGCATTAGTACGTCCTTGAACTGAGTGGTAAATTACACACACAAGAACATCTGAAGCTCTCCATTGCTTTCAGGTTTAATTTGGGGTTCTTGAACTGTAGGTCATAGCCCTCTCAGGGAAAAAATACCATTCCAAAATATATGTACAACAAAAAGTTAGAATGGCTGTCTCAAAAATAAAAATCCATATTTCAGAAATTATGTAAAACTGGACAAGCTTCTACTTTCTATTTAAACTAATGTTTAACTATGATTCTTTCCCATATAATTTTATTTTATAAAGCAGTAGGGCTCTATTGTTGATTCTGTGCACACACAAACAAAATTTAATTAATTAATTAATTTTCATCACACACATAGTGGTGTATTTATTTCTCACCCAACTTTAATCTGAGTGAAATCATTAGATGGGAGGTGGGATTGTGGTGTCACATAATTTCATACATCATTTCAGAGGGCCAGGGCACTATAAGGTTTGAAAATACCCAGGGTTAAACCATGTGTACATCTTATTTCAAGCCTTCTAAAGAAATCTCACATAAAATAAATGGGGCTTTAACTTGAAAGTGGTAATAATACATCAGGGAAACAAATCTAAACCCCAGAGAATCAAAATAAGCCAGATCTCTGCCCTCTGTTAAGGCAACCTTTGGAAATGAGTTGTGGCAAAAGGCTGGTTGACTTACCACCTGGCTGATATCGTAGCCCCAAGGTAAGAAGAGAATCCCTGTATTATACTTCTCCCAATGGGAAAGGATGAATGAGAACAAAACCACCCAAAGAAGCAGGTAGAGGATAAAAACGCTGACACCATTGGATCCTCGGCCAAATGTAGAGTACACGGTCACCACAAAGAACATGCAAGCCCAGCTGTCCAGGCCATGGTCAAAGAGTTCCCCAAGTGGGGTGCTGGATTGGGTGCGACGTGCTTGTTTTCCATCCACCCCATCTGAAGAGAGAGACGCCACAGAAGGAGAAAGTTAACGGATTGCTTTCAATTCTATTGAGTGGCTGGGATTAAAATTAGAAGAAAAATACATGAAGGAAAGAAATCAAAGCAAAAACATTTAAGAACTAAGTTTGATGAGGCTCCGACAATTCATAAACCAAGGCCCATTTATTGGGGCCATTGTTGTTAAAAACAGCTGACAGTCAGGAGGTTTTATGAGGCAGAAAAAAAGATTTGGTTTCAGATTGTGGTTAATTGAATCCCTAAAACACTCCCCCTTCTCTGCTGCAAATCCTACTATTTTCCTAAAATTGCTACAGATCCATAACTGCTGTTTTGAAGGACTCTCAAGGCCTTGTATCACTGCATTCATTTTTAAGTATTCTTGCTACATTTTTTTTCCTTATGCACATACTACTCACACTTTATTTTACTACTAGTGGATACTCTTATTTCCTTTTGTAAAAGCTGATCAGAATATGTTGCTTCCAGAAAAAAAACCCACAAATTAATTTAGAACAAATTGCTTATGGCTTTGCGCTTGCATCTTCCAGTACTTATTTCCTTGCCCCCGATAAAACTGAAATGGAGAAGCAACAGCTATTTCAGAAATATGAATGTGCAACAGAGAACAGAACAGCTTCTCTATCCTTCCTCTCTTTGGGAAAAACATCCTCTCCTATTTCAGGCACAAGCATTGGTGCTAAGAGGCATAAGGTACAACCTGCTTGTATATGTATTTTGCACTAGAGTTGTGAAATAAGAGGCAGCGGTTTTATTCAGGAACTTGGCCTCAATAATATTAATGTTCATTCATATGTTGTTGATTGTATAAATATAGGGTGCAGGAAATTAACAGATCTTACCTAGAGTATAAGCCGCAAAGTTGAGGAGACCCACTAGGATCCATACTTTGTTTGGAACGTGCTTTTGGTCTGGTGCTGCAGGAAAGACAGTAATTCTGAGTCATTATTTTCTCTAGGAAAACGTTTTCAAACAAGAGTACATTTTAGCCATTAAGATCAGGCTCATCCTATTGCAGGCTTACCCAACCTGGAACTCTTCTAATGTTTCGGGACAGTAATAAGTCACAGCAACTGGTTAACAGCTGATTGATCTTGCCTGACCTCAAAAGAACTTGGGTGAGAAACTAGTAAGAAATACTAGGGCTGTAAATGAGAATGAGAAGTTTAATAAAATCCCAGATGGTGGCAATGGCAAAGAGACAGTATGATGCAGAAAATCTATTCTAACAGAGTTATCTGCTTGTATCAGCAAACCTTTAGTTACCACTGAATTCACAGCAGCTACCACCCAATTGCGAAATGCCACTCTTATTGCCCTAATTATAGTGTAAAATAGTAATTTATTTATTCATTCAGCACATTTCTACACCGCCCACTACCTGTGACTCTGGGCAGCTTACAAGAAATTCAAACTACAATTACAAGTTGAAATAATATGCAGATAAGACAACAGCAGCAAAATCAGTTAATCTGAAAGAAAGTTATCAGTATTGGAATGGGACATACAAATTTCCTGCTGGGTAAGGCTCCAAAGCACAGACTGAATTGGAAAATTAAATACTTCAATAGTGGGATTAGCTGTGCTTCTTAATGAATTATGCCCCCTGCCCCTGCCAAATCAAACCTTGAGAAAATGTATTCTTCCCGCCTGATGCTTGGACTGCAAACCTGACAATTCCTCACCATTTGACACAGGGCTAGGACTGAAGGGAAATGGAATCAAAATCATCTGGAAAATCCTATTTGCATTTTATATTAATAAATAAGGCAACCCTTGCCCTGTGAAAAACATGCAAAGCTTCCTTTCAGAAAGGTGAGGGTGTGGACAGAACAATGAGATTTCATTTCTATTTAATTAAATGTTGTTATTAATCTTTAGATGTATGTACATTCCATGAATTTCTGCATGCAAATCTTGGGGGACGGGGGCTGCATTCAATCCAGGGAACTCAAGTTGTGTACCATTGCTCTAAAGGTTATAAACCTTTCTCAATACTTAAGGAAACAAAACAGCATTTCAGCTACTATAAAGTATTATGGTTCAAAATTTTTCTTTTTTTCTTCAGGTGTGAATTTCACAAGGATCCAAGATATTAGCACTTAGCACCTATAGCTTTATATGCATGCATGCATGTATGTATGTACATTTAATATACCACTTCATAGTCATTTACAGCCCTCTCTAGGTGGTTTACAGAGTTAATATAATGCCCACAACAATCTGGGTCCTCATTTTACTGACCTCGGAAGTATGGAAGGCTGAGTCAACCTTGACTTGGTCAGGATTGAATTACTGGCAGTGTGCAGAATTAACCTGCAATACTGCATTCTAACCACCACAGCTACTTCAACTATAACTAGTATAATTACCTGTAATACAACTTTGATATAATCTGAGGTAATAGTTTGTATATCAATGAGAAGCAAAACATCCTGGTGACGTTGAAAAGTTAGTAGGATGATACTTTTTACCAGGTAATTCTGGGTTCATAGCCTAGATTGAAGAGTCCAAAAATATAAACATAGGAAGAAGGCAGTGCTTAATTTTCCTCTTATTGCCAACAAACACCATCGATATGTTGATATAGTCATTGGAAATTTAGCTTGACTTGTTTTAGTTGTTTTATTTATTCAATTTATTTGCTACCCATCTCACAAACTTGAGGGAGACTTGATCAGTGATATGCAAAATAAAACAAAGAGTTTCTGTTATTAATGAAGCCTCATGTACTCTTGGAAAGAATTTAAATCCTTACTTTGTACTTTCACATAGCTGATTTCCATTACCTATATTTATGCCAAATTTCATTCAGGCTTGTTTAATATTAAAGCTTTATTAACTACCTCTGCATACATTTTAAATTCCATTTGGGTGAATTCCATTCTGTGAAACTGTGTTTTTCAAGAAAAATGCCTTTAAGGAGAGAAAAAAACATATTCTGCTTTCAATCTGAACTGAGTTTGTCCTTTCAGTTAGGAAAAAATAGACCAAAGAAGCAGAACCATTATAAAAACTGTTATCATATTGTTATTAGCTGGGCAGCTAACAACAGTGAAAGAAATAAACAACAGGATATTTGTCTGCCCTCATGAATATCATTTTTGCAAACAAACACAGAGGGAAGCTGCTGTACTATTTGCTGAGATGGACATCTTAAAACATGTCTCACCCACATACAGAGTGAGGGAAAACCAAAATTCCCAATTTCAAAATAACAAGAACCACTGAGGCATCTTTGTAGAATTTCACTAAGGGTAGAGGAAAAGAGATCAAACAGCATACTCCACTGAATCAGATTTAAGGAATGTTGCCCATTAACTCTGATTAAAACTTAAATGTTACTCTTGGTCAGTAAATGGATTGTGGCTAAGCTTACAAGTAGTGATTACAATTAAGCATTACAAGTAAATAAGACAAAAAAAGAGCTCCAGCAAGAAGTTGCAACATGGACTGCTCCTAATCAGTTTCCAACCAGCCATTCACGATCTTTTCTAGGAGTCAAAACTCTTCAATCTGATTTTCACTCCCTCTGCTCAACACCGAATAGTCTGTAACCATACAATTTTGGTTTCTTCTAACTTCTTTATCAAAAGCAAGATGGCACAACGGAAGCAAAAGTTTATTTAAATCAGGATCCCATTCTCCTTGACAGCCAACTTTCTGAGCAGCCTATCAAATAAACCTGGGGATTATCTTATTTTTTGCTGAATAACTATGTTTGCCATAACTGGGGGGAGGGAGTTGGTGTAGCAGCAGCAACAGAAAGCAGCAATCCCCACTGCGTAGAACAGCTGATTGGAGGTATTCCATGAGGCAGATCCAACCGCCAATCGGCTGTGAAGTCTCCAGCGTTCCCTGGCTGAGGCAGCAACGCAGAGGTGGGATTAAGCCAGTTCAGAAGAACCGGTTGTTAAAGTTGTGTGCAGTTCAGAGAACCAGCGGATCCCACCACTGGCTGGCCTGGGAGCGCTCTACATCTGCCTGCCCTGCTGTGTGCCCGTCCGGCCTAGGTCATCGACTGTGAGCCCAAAGGCATGGAGAGAGAGGTATGGCTTGGCTTCCAGCGCTGGAGAGAGAATTTGGGGGTGGCAGATGGGGTGGGGCAGGGGAGGAAGGGTGCCCAATTCCCAGGTCGACTGGCTTCTTTCCGGCAGGACTTTCTCTGCTTTAGCATCGTCCAGCTTGAGGGGAGGTTGCCACCCTTTCATTGGGGCACGCATAGCTTTTCCCACCATCACTAGGCATAGCATGGCTTTCTGCCCCTAAGCTGGGGTTGGCAACCCATGACTCCAGACCCTCATACGGCTCTTTAGGCCCTCTCCTGCAGCTTCCTGTTGGATAATCCCACCACTGGCTGGCCCCGCCCCTCACCCTCCCCTCCCAGCCACTCCTCACCTGGCCTGAGAAGGTAAGGGCAATGGCGGCAGATGGAGACTCACTCTATATTCCAGAGCGGGAGCGAAGCACCCTTCTGCTTGCAACTTCTTCCGGCCCTTCTTGGTGCTGTGCACACCTTGACCGCTCGAGGATATGCACAACTTTCTCTCTGCCCCGAGACACTGGCTGGCCCGGCTGCAGCCGATGCACCATGTCGTAATGGGCTACAGAAGGAGGAGTGGGCGCCATCTCCCCCATTGTGAAGCACGCTAAATTTAAGTGTGCTGTGCAAGGCACTGCAAGAGCAGCGAACAGGCCATGGAGGTGGTGAGAGCAGCGGCGGCAGCCGCAACCGGGCCAGTGTCTCGAGGCGGAAAGTCACGTGTCTCCCCATATTCCTTTCACTGGCTCCATGGCCTGCTTGCTGCTCTTGCAGCGCCTTGCGCAGCACACTTAAATTTAGTGTGCTTCACAATGGGGTAGACGGCGTCCCCCTCCTCCTCCTGGAGACCATTAGAACGTGGAGCATTGGCTGCAGCCGGGTCGGGCCAGTGTCTCAGGGCGGAGAGAAAGTTGTGTGTCTCCCTGAGTGACCAAGGTGCGCGCAGCACCAACAAGGACCGTAAGAAGAGTCAAATAGAGGGGCGCTTCACTCCTGCTCTGGAATACGGAGTGAGTCTCCATCCGCCGCCGCCGCCCTTACCTTACCTTCTCAGATGAAGACTGACTGAAGAACGAACAACATCAGCAAAACAAAAAACAAAAAAAACGTTTTTGGAAATGGTTCAAGAGGGAATACACCCACACCCAAAACAAACAAACAAACAAACAAACAAACAAACATACATACATATATATATATGAGAGAAAGATGAGAAGAGAGAGGGAATGAGAAATAGAGAGGGGGAGAAAGAGAGGAGTGAGAGAGATGAGAGTGAGAGAGAGGGAGGGAGACAGACATGGAGTGAGATACCTGTTTAAAAGAAAATACAGGGAGCCACAAAACCTGGGTAGGCGTGGCTGGAAGGTTCATGTGATTGGATGGGAGTGAGTGATGTCGAGTTGGCTACACCCACCCAGGTTTTGTGGCTCCCCGTGTTTTTTTTTCTGTGGGAAACAGGTACAAATGGCTCTTTGAGTGTTTAAGGTTGCAGACCCCTGCCCTAAGCCATCGATGCAATTTTGGGGCCAGCTTGAGGGAAGGAAGCCGCTTCCTCCTCTTTCCTTGCTCCTCGTATTTCCCTTGTGTCGGCCTCTCCATTGCAGCGCAGCGCCCAGGATCCATTAGAAGGGTGCAGATAGATTATTTCCAGCACACTTATGACTTTTGATTCAGTGCAACATTTGAAATTATTTCTAACATCATTATCAGTAAAAAAAAAAAAAAAAAAAGGAGGGAGAGAAGAGTACATTGGTACAATCTAGTGCAATCCAGTGTTCTGTAAAACAATTCTGCTGTCAGAGTTCTGTCTATTGCCATAATTAAATTAAAACACTACTGGGATCTCAATTTGGGTTTATTGGTTTTTATGGCATGCATCACAAAGGGTGTTTTCTTAATATGGTTTCAACTGTTACTTCTTAATACATTCTTCTCTTATTGTTGTTCTATTGTAAGTTGCCCTAAGTCTAGCTCTTGCATACAGCTCCAAATTTTGGATCAGCCTTCCCATGAGATTAGATTAACCTCATATTTTGGAAGGTTGTTACAACAGACTTCTTCCAAAGGAGTTTGGGGGATTTATGGACAAGCCATGAGTAAATTGTGCTCCATATATTTTCTCTTTTTTATTTTAATGTACTGTAAATTTGTTTTTGTATAATAATAACTGTTATTAGCCTCCAGATTCAATAAATAAATGGATGTTGCTATCCAGATTTATGCAACCTGACCAATTCCTAGCTGCCCAGAGTTGCCCCAAACAGTGAGCGGCGCGGTATATAAATACATTAATTTGTGGGCCCAGGTTAAAGCACCTGCATTATCAGGTACTAAACAGGTAGGTGGCTTACCAATCAACTGTTTAACAACTATTTACTGTTATGATGGTCTTGGACTTCCAGCTGTCATAAAACACTGTGCTATCCCCTGCAGTTATGTGATTGCAATCTGGGTGACTGGCAACCTGTCTGCACTTACAACTGGTTACCAAGCACCCTGTGATCACCATTTGCAACCTTCTCTGCTGGATTTCCCTCTAATCTCTGGAGGCTGACTGAAAGAGCTGCCTGCCAAGGGGATCTGAACTCCTTTAGTGGAGTAAAGGAATGGAGCTCAGATTCTGAAGATCTGAGCTGTTCCTGCATCCTGTCAAAAGCGTTCCCTTTCCCATGTGGAGGGGAGCTTAAATCCTTCAGCAGCGTAGAGAAATGAAACTCATATCCTGATGATTTAAGCTCTGCTTCCTCACCCCGGGGAAAGAGTTCCCTTCTGTGAATGGAAGAGAGCTGACATCCTTTGGCAAGCAGTCCTCTCAGCCAGTTCCTAGAGATGAGCGGGTGCCAAAATGCAAGCAGGATTTTCAGCTCTTGGGCAGATAGATAGAGAAGATAAGGAGTGTTGGATGCCTCAGGTGGGTGGGAAGGTCCTGGTAGGCCCGTGCAGCAGCATGCAAGTGTCTCTTCATTCAGGGGTTGTAAATCCTGCTTGAATTTTGGCAGGGAGGATTTTCAGCTTCTGAATGGAGGCTCCCAGGTTCCCAAACAGGCACCCTGCATTCTTTACTTGGGACTCTGTCCACTTAACAATCACAACTAGGAGGGCCAGGATTGTGATTACTGAGCAAAGCAGTCTTAGGGCAGTAACATGACATCTTGTTTAACAACTGCTTCGCTCAACAACCAATCCCAATTGTAGTCATTAAGTGAGGACCAAGTACCACCTGTAAAGTCCTTCATGGTTTGGGATCATAATATGTGAAGGAATATTTCTTCCTGTAATTTTCAATCATAGTTTAAGATAAAAAAAGCTAATGCAATCCTAAGTTGTATTAACAGAGGGATACAATCAAGATCAAGGGAGGTACTAATACCACTCTACAAAGCCTTAGTAAGACCACACCTAGAGTACTGCATCCAGTTTTGTTCACCACATTATAAAAAAGATGTTGAGACTCTAGAAAAAGTACAGAGAAGAGCAACCAGGATGATTAGGGAACTGGAACCTAAAACATACGAAGAACAGTTACAGGAACTGGGCTTGGCTAGTCTAGTAAAGAGAAGGACCAGGGGACACATGATAGCAATCTTCCAATATTTGAGGGGCTGTCACAGAGAGGAAGGGGTCAAACTATTTTCTAAAGCGCCTGTACGCCAGACAAGGAATAATGGATGAAAACTGAAGGAGAGATTCAACCTGGAAATAAAGAGAAACTTTCTGACAGTGAGAACAATCAACCAATGGAACACCTTACCCTTGGAAGTTGTGGGAGCACCATCACTCGAGACTTTCAAGAAGAGATTGGACTGCCATTTGTCAGAAATGGTTAGGGTCTCCCACTTGGGCAGGGGGTTGGGCTAGATGACCCAAAAGGTCCCTTCCAACTCTGATTATCTGTTATCTGTTATCCTTTTCGAAGAGGATATTCTCCCAGGGCAATAATGGTTAGTGACCATCCACAGTTGTTAAGTGAACCAATGATAGGCAGTGAATGCAGTTTTGCCAAAAACTGGCAATATTCTAAAATTCGGTAAAATATCATCTGCAGGATAATGCAAATGGCTGAATATGGAGCCCAACTGCCAAATACCCGAAGTGCAATTATGTGACCTTGCTCTTACTGTTTTATATTTATGATGAATTTTAATTGTGACTTATCATATTTTAGTTTTCATTTAAAATCTCTACACACTATTGTGATTTTTGTGTTCTGCAAGCAGCTAGACATATACTTGTTTTGAAGGACAGCATATATATTTTTAAAAGTCTGTAAAAAATAAATCAAGACATTGGAAAGCCTAAAAGCACCATAGCAAGACTAAATGGGCAATTTTCTAGCAACACAAGGGCTCAGTTCATACATAAAATTAAACTAGATTATTTTACCTATGGTTTGTTGAGTAAATCTGTGTGGCCTGGCCATAGCTAAGTATTACTGAGTGAGTTTGCATATTAAGCAAGGCCAAAATCAAAACAGATATCAGTATCAGAATATATTTTTCATCATTCTTGTGATTATAAAGGCACACACCATTTAAAAATTGAGTGAAACATCAAAGTCTTACCAGAAGCATAAAAATCAGGGTCAAAGTATGCCATGAGAAAGAAGTTGAAGACAAGTAGCAAGAAACCAGAAAACGTTATCAAATTTGGGGCCAGCCACTTAGGAAAAATCTAGGAGAAAGCAAGTAAAAACATATACAAAAAGTTCATATTAATGGACACAGTAATTTTCATCAAGAAGAAAATATTCATTTGACATAAGCCTTTTTTCCTTATTGTTCTATAGCAGTAGAAAATAAAACCCAGTCCACAAGGTGATGTGCATGTACAAATGATCAAGTTTTCTGAAGAAGGGTTAGTCCTGGGTTAGTCACAGAGAAAAGGAAGGGGTCATATCAATGTCAAATGGGTCATAAATTTTTTTTTACTTGCAGAGAGTTAAACGTAGCCCAAATGTAGCACAGAAAGCACACTCAAACAGGGTGGATAAGAGTTTTACTCACCTTAACTACAGTGTTCCAAAATGGATGCATGACATACAGGGAAAGAGGGTTGTTGTCCACAGCACTGTACTATAAAGGAAGCCAAGAGAATAAAGACGATCAGCTGAAAGTCTTAGAAAGTTCTTCCAGGAAGCTTACAAGTAGGACATCTGCATTCATATCACCTTACACTTCTCCAGAATCAAACAACATGTTGCTCCATGGAAGTGGGAAGCCTCTACATCAGGGGTGTCAAACTCATGCCGTCATGGCGGCATCATGTGACGTATCAGAACTTTTTTCCCCTTCGCTAAACCCGGCGTGGCCAGTGCATGATGCATCTGGCCCGCAGGCCAGGAGTTTCACAAGTCCTGCTCTACATATTCTGACAATCATTTCTGGAGAGGCATTTATTAATGGTCTTTGCACCTGACAACTACACTTCTGGGCCAGGTGTCATAAAACTTGAAAGTGGCTTTGTACAGCTCAGATCACGTTTTGAGCTTTGTACAGCTCAGATGTTTATAAATACCTTTTAATTTCACAACCTCAGGGTGAGGGATAAAAGAACACCTCTTGTAATATGATGGCTGTGTTAATTCCACAAGATCAATGATAGGGAAGATAAGAGTACGGGAGTAATCTATTCTGATTGATTAATAGTGAGAAAGGCCATGTTATAGATCATAATTAGGTTGGTCTTTCTCAGTATTGAATATCTTATTATTCACAACTCAATGGAACAGATGGGACCAACGGCTAATGTTCATGTAACTGCTTGTCCTACAGCAAAATTTAAAATCTGGCTAAGCACCATATAATTAACTCACATTAAAAGCACTCCAAATTGTCAATCAAACTTCCAAATTACCATTGTTTGATTTGCCTTTCTCTCTGATGAATAAGGATTGCTTCCAGACAAATAAGGAGGCCTATGTTTGAGGGACTAACTATGATGAGTTCAATACATTTGGGTTGTGAGTTTGCATAAAGCACTTTCTGGACAGTAGATTATGGAGCTTAATACACATATGCATACATACATATTCTATTATGTTATTTCAGAGTGATAGTGGGTGGTGGTATGTTTCTGGAAGGGATGAATGAAGCAATCTGGCAGTTTATGCCAAGATTCCTGGTGTTACCCAACTAAGCAAGTGGGCACCCACAAAAGGCAGCAGCAGTATAAGAAGATGCTGATGGCACATGATCAGAATAGAGACAACAATAAAGACACATTTGCAAACTGGCATAGAGGCACAGAGAGAGAGAGCTAAGATGATGGAATGCTCCATAACTTTCCCTGACAAGTCAGCTGCATAATAAAATTATATTTAATTATTGTTTGGCAAAATATGCTGCTCCTTTTTGAAGAAAAATGGACTGTTGTTCCCTAGCAAATGAGACAAAAATGGGAACATGCTATTTTACCATACTGGCATGATAGGACCTAAAGAATTTAACCTGCATCTCAATACAACTTGTACTCTGAGTACAGAATGTTACTGATGTTGGATACCTAATGCCAAAAAAACTATTTGTAGCTAAGAGTTGAACTGGTGTGTGTGTGTGTGTGTGTGTGTGTGTGTGCGCGCGCGCACCCTGAGCCTGGCTGTTTGCTTGCAAATGTTTCACTATCCAGCTAGGCAATTTGATGATGTTATCTAGCTTGGTAATGAAATATTTCCAAACAGACAACCAAGAGAACAGCAAGACTCCCACAGATTTATCTGATTACAATGCTACAATACTTAAGTTGTTAGATGCATCATGTGTATACATCATTTCTGTAAAAAAGATGGGTGAACTTCAGAATATGCCATCCTACAAATACCCAGGCTTTCTGAAATAGAACTGTGTTTAATCCCTAAACTGAGCTTCAGGTCTTTAATATCAAAACAGATATTAAGCAGAATGAGGTATCAGAAGTATAATTATTTTAAAAAATAATAAAGTTCTGTCTGAATCCTTATTTGTAAACTTGATATACACCAGAGAGAACATAAATTTACAGACTTTGGAGCCTATGACTATATACAATGTTTTCACGAAATATTTGCAAAAAATTAACCTCAAGACAGATTGGTCCAAGTTGGAAAAGGCAAAAAGTCCTAATTCATCAAAGGTAAACAAAATCCCATTATTGCCTGAAGAGCTGAAGAAGCTTCTTGGATGAAAAGTGAAATGTCTTCATACAAAAACCAGAAAATCCAGTTGCCTCTTGAAAAAAAGCACCTTTGAGACAGCCATGACCTGGATGACCGAGAATCTCCCTAGACATCTCACTTAATAGAAATGTTGGGCTCAACTGGTCGTAAATCGAGAACTAAGTCAAGAACTACCTGTTCACTTCCCTTGCTACATAGGAGTTAATGACAAGGGAATTCCAGTGCTTTGTTGATTGATTTCTTCACATTAAAAGGTGTTAAAGGAATCCTTGGGCCCCTGCAATCTAAGGAAAGGCAGGTAACAAATAAAGCACACCAAATTGTCGCTTATGTTCTCTTGATGGATTGATTATATGCCATCAAAAGATATAGCCAGATATACATAGACAGAAAGTAATTTTGGCCACCTAAAAATAACATCTTTTAAATGGATATTTTTTTGCTATGCCATTAGCATCATCTCCAGAAACGTTTGAGACTTATTGCCATTTCATTCACTTGGCCTATTCAATTGCAGATTCACATTACTTTCAAAGCAGAACATTGAAGACATTCAGGCACAATGATTCTACTTAATGGTGTGGAATATTTAACAGATTGTTTAGATCTCATTATTCCTCCCTTTAGATGCAAGAGAGCACAGCCTAATTGTTTGGTCTACGCAGAAAGCATTTTGTCATGCTGAATATATCATCGTGACCATTGGACCAAATCCTGTAAAAGTAATCACATTCAGATATTCAAGCTGGATAAAGAAGTATGTAACCAAGACTACTACTGCAATCTGCTCTGGAAAATAAAATTAGCAATCCAACCAGACAGAAGGGATTCTTCCTGTAGTTCAATGATCAGCACCATTCAATATTAACTAAAAGGTTCTGATTTCAACTGTACATGGCTCACAAAACTGTTGGTTTTGTAAAAAAACAAGATAGCACAAAAGATTTGATGTCTAAAAAATGTACAACTGCAAATATTCTGGTTCACCTTAAAACCTGTGCAGCTCCCAGTAAAGGCTACTTAAATGAAAAGTTACCCATTCAAATAAGTAATTGGGTTCCTTTCCTGAGGTATCCTGGCAGCCCCAATTCAAGCTGCACTGTTCTCTTTGTCAATTGTTTAGTTCTAAACCACAAGGAGGAATCAAATTACTCAAGGAAATTCTACTGCAAAAAGAGAGGAAGAAAAGCCAATAGAACCTAGATTAATGTAGATATTCAAGACTATTCACAGTGGACTATAATCTTTACACCATAAAGTAAAGAAGATTAAATACTACTAATTTAATCCCATTGTAGGAATACTTGAAAAATAGTCTTGTGTAATAACTCCCCCCCTTCCCCAAATATATAGTAAATATAATGGTATGTGAGGAAAACCTTTGGGAGTTGGTGAATCAATGCTATCTAGGGAACGGTCATATAAGAAACAGCGTATTATCAACTACAGCTGGACAGAGGGTAGAACAAGAGCAGTGGTGGGATTCAAATTTTTTTTACTACCGGTTCAGTGGTTGTGGCTTGGCTTGGTGGGCGTGGCAGGGGAAAGATACTGCAAAACCCCCATTCCCTCCACACTCCTGGCGGAAGGTTACTGCAAAATCCCCATTCCCTCCCCAATCCACTAACCTGCTTTCCAGCTCCTTTCTCCTGTGCAGGGAAACAAAAGAAGATCCAGCCAATCAGCTGGGACTCAGGAGGCAGAGAATAGATGGGGGCGGGCCCAGTCAGAGGTGGTATTTGTGGGTTCTCTGAACTACTCAAAATTTCTGCTATCAATTCTCCAGAACTGGTCAGAACCTGCTGAATACCACCTCTGAACAAGAGGCTCAGAAGGGACCCTCCCCTAGCTTCTTAGGCTGTAAAGGAGAGGGCAGGAGAATCTACTTTAAGAGTTCCAATGCGTTACTATTATATTTTTACACTAAAGTAACTTATCTGATCTTATTTCTGTGTGGTCTATCTGGTAAGGCTGACAGCAGAGGATGGGGCTTATGTTCATCCTGCTTATTGAACAATATTCCAGTTTTGTATCACTGGAAGGCTCAGGTTATCTGAATGCAAATTACAAACACTGTGGAACTATTGTATAAAAAATATTGCATAGATTTATACAGCAATATCTTTAGATCATGAGCTTTTTATATGATCCTTTCAAATTTTCAGAACACAAATATAATGAAATGACCATAAAATCCTGGAAATTTGACATCATTATTAAAGTGATCTCAAAGGTCACTGAACCCAAAAAAATCATAATAAATTATCTTCATATAAATGTATTTTGGATGACTCCAATAATAAAAAAACCTCTTTGGATCATATCTAATAATAGCATGATTTTTTTCAAGATAATTGTATATTATATATATTGAATGTATATGTATATGGAATACAGGTAGTCCTTGATCTGCCAGTTCCTTGGACAAGGATGCTTTTTTGACTGCATAGTCTAGCTTAAATTTTAGGATTCCCTAGTGATTTTCCTTCAAGCAGATACAAACCGATTCAGTTTTTTCCCCCAAAATTTTAAAAGTAGCACTGTTTTGATTTGTGAAGTCATTTTGAAAATTAGTTGAAATATTTCTTTGATAATATATGTTGACAGTTGTTTGCTTTACAGATTCCTGTTTAACAGGTTGCTTTATCTCTGTAGAATTAATAACGTAACAACAACAGAAATAAAAATAGCTTACTAAGCACTTTAGCTAATGCTAAAGAAAACCCCGGACTCAAACTTGCCTCTTCCAAAATTCCCTTGGGCAATTCAACATCTTTCATCTGTAACATGGGCAGTGGCTTACATCACACTGATGCAAATGTTATAAATGGGAATGCAATCATAATGAATCTATCTTGGGAGTATATATCTTGGGCATTATGGCAGACACATTAATTGCACAGAAAATATATTCGCAAAAGA